AACTCACCTGAGGGGCCAGCTCTGTGCTGGGACTCTCCATAGAGAACTCACCTGAGGGGCCAGCTCTGTGCTGGGACTCTCCATAGAGAACTCCAGCAGGCTGCCTTGATGGGACTCCCCCGTCAGCAGTGCCTGATTTGACGTTTGCCCCAACTCCTCCTTCCCTCTCTCTCTTAAAAAACCATTCCAAATGGAAACTATGACTACCATAGACCCTTCTCCTAACACAACTGTCCATTATAAACAAATATGCAAATCGCAGGCATCCTGCTAATTTTTCTGGTAACCACATGAAAACTCACTAAAAGAAGCTTATTTTTTTTTTATTTCAGTGTGTCCAGAACTGCCACCCTTTCCCTGCAAAGCCCACACGAAGCCATTTCTGATTTGCTACGACAGTCTTCGACACCCAGCCTTTGAGGTCACACTCACCATGCAACAAAATTTGCACTGACCACATTTTCAGTGGTCTATAGCTGCACGCACGAACAAGGGCCACTCTGTTTCCAGAACTCTCTGTCCACTGTGACTCGCAGACCCAAGCCAGCTGTGGGCCAGTGCTGTGCCGAGTCCTGGAGACAGCTGGGCTGGGCGCACTTGCTGACTCTTTGTTGGGTTGATGACTCTACCTGTTCATCTGTCAGTCAGCCCAGAGCACCGCAGGTGGGAGGCCTCACCTGCTGGAGGCTGGAAGTCCACGGTGGAAGTGTCACGGGGCTGCCTTCTCCCAGGGTCCCTGTCCTGGGCTTGCAGATAGCATCTGACACAGGCTGTGTCCTAATGTCTCTTTTCTTTCCCTGGGGACACCAGTCTCTTGGTGCTAGGGACCATGTGGCCTCAATTACCTTCATCATCTCATTCAAGATCCTGCCTCCAAATTCAGGGGCTGAGGCTATGAGAGATGAGGAGTCCAACATACAGATTTTGAGGAATACTATATGTCCAGTAACAAAATCTCCCACAGACTTGCTGCCGTTTCCAACCATTCACCACCCTGTGGGGCTACTGCCTGTATCGGGGACTGCCAGCCATGAGCAGAGGGGCACATCTGTCTCATCTGGGAACTTTCTCGCTGGGACTTTTTTTTGGGGGGGGGGGCCTCTGGTTTTTGTTTTAGTTTTTTCATTTTGAGACAAGGTCTTATACAGCCCAGGCTAGCCTGAACTCACTACGTAGCTGAGGATGACCTTGAGTTTCTGATCTTCCTGCCTTTCCCTCACAAGCATATGCCACAACACCCAGCTCACTGAGACATTTTTGAGGCGCCCCAAGAAACCATGGTAAGGCAAGGAAGGTGCCAGCTTTTGACGTCTCTGCCATGCTAACGTCCAGATAAAGACAAAGCCTGTGCCCAAGGGGGCCACAGAGACACCCAAGTACCCAAACCAGTCCCCCAAAAGGCCATAAATGAATTGAGTGGCTCAGGCCAGTGGCAGAGGCCAAGAGGGTCACGTGCTGATTGTCCTCTTCCAGCTTCAGAAGTAATGGGGGTGGCTGCCTCACGCTCCTCCAGTGACTTCTCGGCCACAATGGACTGATCTGGAACCGTGAGTCAAGCCCTTAAGTTGCTTTTGTCCTGGTATTTATCACAGCACCAATCAGGAGGCTGGGACACTACAACATCATTCTGGATTATGAAATGCAAAACTCGGGACTCTCGAGGGCACCGCTTTCCATCTCTACTGTACTGCCTCCTTGCACAGGGAAGCCACGTAAAATGCCTGGAGTCGCTGCAGCCTTCTTGCAGCCATGAAGCCCTAAACCTGTGCTAAAGAGGGCGAAACAGAAGTCAGTCCAAGTCGCAGAACTGCCATACAGCCACCTCGAGAACCAAGCACAGACATCCTGCTACACGGTCTGGCTCAAGGAGAGCACAGAGGAGTACTGACCACCACCACTGAGCTGGGGGGTCACCCAAGGTTGGCAGACCCCCAGCTCCTGCTGTCTTCTCACGGCGTTGGGTCTCACACACAGGTGATGCATGTATTCACATGTGTGCGAACTGTGAACTCTCCTATCCAATGCTATCTGGGCTTCCCAGAGTCAGGGACTCGGAGTTTTGCAAGCGACACAGCCCCATGAAAGCTGCATCACCAACCCCATGGGTTCATTCTTGTGACAAACCAAGGTGGGAAACTGAGGACCCGACAGGTGAGGAGTTGTCTCAGGGCCAAGGACAATCTGGGCTTGAATTCCATCTCATGAGGCCATTTGAAACACGTCCCCGAGGTCTGCTCTGGGAAACTGAGGCAGGTCTCTGCCTGCATCCAGTGACTGGTTAGGACAGCAGAGGTTCCTGACAGCACTGGCCTTGGGGGTAATGGTCATGGTTGTCCCTGGGGCCTCCCCCACCACAATCCTGGTTCACCCCAGCCTCTGATCAAGATTAGCAGTAGGGAAAGACGACATTTCCTGGGGCACACACTGCTGGGGGGCCGGGGACCAGAAACTGGTGGTAAGAGCTGCTTTGACAGCCCACGTGGGCAGACACCCTCCTTTGGGGAAAGTCCTCACCAGTCTAAGCAGGTTCTGAACTGTCTTTTCTTCTGCATTCTGGTTTTGCACAGTGCCTAGGACATCAGGATTGTATACCTGCCTGGCTGGTAAAGAGCTGGGGAGGTTAACCCAAGCTAAAGAACTCATGGGAGCAGCAGTGGAAAGGCATGGGGGGCGGGGGTAAAGGTGTCCTGCATAAAGGCATCTGTGTCACTCAATGGACAGGTGGGTGGCCCACCCACAGGGGGATGATATGGTCACAGTACGAAAACCTCCTGGGTTGGTCTCCTGGCTTACTCTTCCTTGGGTTTGCCAGGATGAGGCCGGGCCAGCCTGTAGTCCATATAGGTCCCCAGACAGGACCACAGGATGAAGCGCACCAGGAGGATGACCACCAGGAGCACCATGAGTGGGTCAGGACCAGCAGCATCCCCAAGCCAGGAGGCCATGCTGAGGAGGGAGGCCACCACACGGGGTGGAGCAGCAGCCACCTCTCTGGGGCCTGAGTTCAGTTCTGCCTGCCTGCCTGCCGGTGGCCCCTTCTGAGGGACAGACCCGTGCAGTCCACAACCAGCCCTTCCCACCGCACAGGGCCTCCCTGCCTGTGAGGGGACAGTTGGGGCTACAGGCGGCCTCCTTGGTCAAGAGGCCCGTGCACCATTCATGGGGAGCTAAGCACTCCGTGGACCGACAATGGCAGCATTGTCAGAGGCCCTGGCGGCGGGAGGCCTGCGGGAGCCCGCCTCCCGCGCTGTCCCCTCGGCCCCTGCCCGCCAGGCTGACGTAATCCCCAAACATCTCCGGCGGCGGCAGCTGCAGGGCGAAGCGGCCGCCTCCTCCGGGCCTTTCCGGCTGCCGCAGACAATCGGGCTCTTTCTCTCCCCAATTAGCTATCACTTCTGGAGGCCGGCGCGGTCCGAGGCTGGGCGGGCTGTGCAGCAGCAGCAGCAGCAGCAGCAGCAGCAGCAGGCCCGCACCGAGCGGGGGCCGCGAGGCTTGCAGGGAGGCCCGGCCCAGCAGGGAGGGCGGCAGGGAGACTGTGCAATTGAAAAGAGGAGAGAGGCACAGAGAGGGGGAACAGTCGGCTGGAGCCCAGAGGTGACCCCAGACATGGCTCAATTAGCACACAGGCTGTGCGCAGAGTCCCCAAGGCCGCTCCAGCCTGTGGCAGCATGGGGGTGGTCAACACAGACCGCCCTAAAAAGGGTCTGGAACCTGGGAGGGGGGGTTAATCTCCCCCCTCCAGAGCAGCCACTGGAGGTGGGCCCAACACCACCTCCTCCAGCCCCACAGAGGTTTATGAGAAGGAACCGCTACAGCCCCCCCCCCCCCCCCCCCCCCCAACAGGGTTAAGCAAAGAAACCCCCCCACCCCCCCCCCCCCCCAGCCGCCCACACAAGGCTGCCGGCTGATGAGCCCCGAACAAGCCTGGGACTCACTGAGTGATGGTGGAGAAGATGCTTCCTCCCTTGGACCTCAGGCTCCTTGCTGGGAAATGAGGTCAGAGGCCCCTGATCTGAAAGACAGAGAGAGTGTATTTAAAAGGACTCAGCACCCCAGAACAGACTCCCTAGGGACACACCTCCAGAATTTTCCAGAAAAACAGCACCCTGCCTGGTTATGTCTGTCTGCCATACACATGTGCTCAGACATACATGTGTGCGTCCCCCCCCACACACACACACACAGACCCTGTCCCCTGGCATGGTCCACTCTGGCCCCTCACAGCCAAGGTCTCCTTGGGTGGGAGACAGCTGGTTCCCATCTCCTACCCCTAACACCAGCCTGGTGTCCCACAAAGCAGGGCCTCACCTGCAGCCGGGAGCACTGTGGCAGGAATGAGGGTGAGAGTATCCGGCCACAGGGTACTGGACTTCCAACCCAAGTTGTCTCACCAGGAACCAGCCCAACAGGCCCGGAGAGATGCAAGGGGACTCTTCCACACTGAGAGCTTCTGTAGCCCGTCACTTGTCACCTCTCACTGAACCCTCCTCTATGGCAATATGAGTATTCACCCTGTACAAGCCCTTCTAGAAGGTTCCAAATAATGACAAACACAAAGGATGGGCAGACAGCACACCTTTAGGGCAGGAAGTGCAGAATGAGGGTGGTGCCGATTTGTGGGTTTCATAACACCAACCCGAAGTGTGCCAGAGGCACGTATATTCCCGGGGTCCACACTCCACCTCTCTCCCGGCAGCTGGTGCGTCCCTGGACTGACCGAGGTTATCTTCTGCTCTGCAGTTCACGGGGTGTCTTGCCAGGCCACCCAGCCGGCATTCTCAGGACAATACTCTTGGAACAAGTTCTGGGTTTATTTTTCTCACTCCAAATGTCAATGGGGACCTAGAAATTCGGAGTCAGGCCCAAGCAGAAATCAGACCAAGCATGTGCTTGTCAAGGGTTTCTGGGATGTCCTGGAAGGTCCTGCTCACTTGCTAAAGAAACCCAACTGAACGTGGGGGAGAGTCTCCAGATAGACACCACCATGCCTCTTGGGAAGGGAAGAAGCCAAGGTCTAGCCTCAGCCAGCGATTCACTCACCTGAGAGGCCACATCTCCGGGTGAGGCTGGCTTTCTTGGAAGCCGGAGCTGTCTGCCCTGAGCATGGCCACCAGCTCGGGCCCACCAGACTGGTGGAGCCAAGGTGGCCTTGAACAAAACTCTGTGTTTGTCAAGCATGCCGTCAGATAGGCAAAGTCAATATTGTCCCGGGTCGCATGGCACCTAGGGGAGACTCTGGGGTCAAGGAGGCCCGACCTTCCCTGCTCATGCCTCTGGCAGTCAGCAAGCACAAGGTCTGAGTGTCCTTCGAGGGAGGAAGTGTGTGGCCCTTCTCCCCTGGACACACCAAGCTGCTCCTAAGAGAGGAGGTCTCTGGGGTGCTGGGCCTGAGGATGGAGGAGGCACAGGAAAAACCAAGAAATCGATGGAGACAGCTCAGACATAGCTCCTCTGCCTGGAAGGCACCAGGGTGCTCCCGCTGTGCCGAAAGGGACTCTGGGTCACCCTACAACTGTCAGCAATGATGTACATGGTCTGTGCTATTCCTGGTCCTTCAAGGGCCTCCTCAGCCTCATTACTGGAGCTGAGGAGCTGTCCCCTGGGCAGACCATCTATCAGACCTTGACCATACAATGGAAGAGCCCTGAGTCCCCCGGACTAACTAAAGGGTACACAGTCACTAGGACAGCCCCACACTGAGAAAACGGGCCTGTGCCCAAAGTCAGTCCTCTTTTATGGCTCTCCCACCCCACCTTCCTGCTTCCTGGATTTCTTACCTTCTTCTTGGACCATTACATCCTGAACCATCTGCTGTAGGACACAGCCCAAGGCAACAAACCCAGAGGCACCAACAGTGTCTACAGTGACACTCAGAGCTCAGCCACGGAGGCTCTTGTCCCTTGTCACAGAGGTCAGATTAGGAGACTCTGGTTCCCTTCAAGTCTTGAAGGATCCATGGTGCCTTCCAACACCTATGTTCAAGCATTGAAATGGCAAGGGACAGGTTTTTGTTCACAGGTCACTGGCGTTTGCCAGGTGAAATCCCGGGCTGTTGGGGCAGGGCTGGGGTGAAAAGCTGGGGGGGGGGGTGAGCTCCGGCTCATTCCAGCAGAAGCCTGGTCCCCACTGGGGGCCTATTGTCCCTACCGGTGACAGTGCTGGGAAGGAGCTCAGGGACCCGCTCAAGTGTCTGCTCAGAGCCCTCAGCAAGCAGATCTGTGTCCACATGTCACTTCCTCACTCCTGGCAGCAAGCGATGCCAGCGCTAGACGCGCTTCTCAGGGTACACCCACCCAGACATCATCAAGGTCTCACAGGACTGTCTGGGCTTGATCTCGTGACTGGGGGCATAGTCAAGGCCTATACCTGCTTCTGATTGGTTTATATTGCTTTGGGGGGGGGGGTCATGTGAGTGGGCATGTGTTCATGTGCGTGCGTGCGTGCGTGCGTGCGTGCGTGCGTGTGTGTGTGTGCGTGTGTACACCTCGGGTATCATTCCTCAGACACCAGCCACTTTTTCTCTCTTTTTTTTTTTCTCTCTTGAGACAAGATCTTTACTGACCTAGAGCTCATGTAGGCTGGGCTGGTCAGCGAGCCTGATGACCTGCCTGTCTCCACCTCCCCAGTGCTGGGGTCACAAGAGTATGTCACCATAGAGGTTCTAGGGATGGAACTTGGGTCCTCACACTTGTGTGGCCAGCTCTTTACTAATGGACTAAACTCTCCCCAGCCTAACACTACTTTTCCCTTTCCTCCTGGCACTCACGACCTCTGAACTCTCGTACGGATCTATCACAGGTCTCTTACAGGTCCCCTGGGGCCATATGGGCAGGGGTCTCTAGGGCAAGTTAAAGGAAGTTTTAACATTTCATTAGACCAGATTCTGCCAAAACTGTGTAGCCTCCAGCTACGACCGGGCAAAGAGTAAGACTTCTCAGCCTTAGTAACAATTGTTACTTTTATTTCTTCTTCTCCTCCTCCGTCTCCATCTTCATCTTCATCTTTTTTTTTTTTTTTTTTTTTTGAGACAGGGTTTCTCTGTGTAGCTCTGGCTAGTTTGAAACTCACTCTGTAGGCCAGGCTGGCCTGGAACTCACAGAGATCCTCCTGACTCTGCCTCCTGAGTGCCGGGATTAAAGGCGTGTGCCACAATGCCTGGCACTTTTATTTCTTCTTAACATTTATTTTTATACTATATTCATGGGTGTTTTCCCTGCATTATGTCTGTGCATCGTGTGTGGACAGTGCCCACAGAGGCCAGAAGAGGGTGTTGGATCTCCTGAATCTGGAGTTACAGACAGCTGTGAGTCACCATGTGGGTGCTGGGAATTGAACCTGGGTCCTCTGCAAGAGCAGCCCAAGTTCTTAATGGCTGAGCCGTCTTCCCAGCCCCCCAACTGTTTCTTTTACCTTGTCACAAAAATCAGACACTCATGCTGACAGAGAATGAGAGAACAAGAATGAGAGAGAGAGAGAGAGAAAGAGAGAGAGAGAGAGAGAGAGAGAGAGAGAGAGAGAGAGAGAGAGAGCAAAAGAACACGTACCTTGCAGAAGTATGCAGATTACAAAAGAATAAATTGCCAGCTGCTTCTGCCAAGATGGAGCCCCAAACAGTAAGGAACCCTCAGAATCAATGGAAACCTTGGGGGAAGACTCTTGAAGAAGGTCTGTGGTCAGCCCACTTCTTCCCTGAGAATCTCACCCTTCCAATTCCAGCCACAATAGGGCCTGGTAGTGCATGGGCATGCCTATAAAACAAGGACTAAGGAGGTAGAGGCAGGTCTTAAATTCAAGGCCAACGTGAGCTACAGCAGCAAACAGGGCCAAAGGATATGGCTGAGTGGCTGAGGCACTTGCCTCACGAGCAGGAGGTGCAGTGTAGGGTGGGTGTGGCGGTCTGCACGAAATTCCAACTTGGAAGGCAAACCACTGATATTGGGGGAAATTATAAAGGCCACTCCACGTAGTTAAAAGGAAGATTTATTTAGTGGATGACTTACAAATGAAGGAATAGATAGGTTGCG